CATTCCCCTTCTGATCAAAGACATCCATTGAGGAAGACTCAGTGTTCTTCACCATCCTGATTGCCCACTATATGCAGTGTTCCGTATCTTTGGACTCCCCCCTCTGAGATGCAGCAGAGGGAGAAATCTTCTAATATCTTCTCTTTAGGGCCAAACTTATTTTTCATAATCATGCAACATTCACTTTCAATTTTATTGTGATCTTTCTGTTTATATTGTTGTAGTCATTGTATATGTTACATTCTTGACTCTGCTTATTTCATTTTATATCCATTCACATAAATTTTTCTATGCTTCTGTATTTATGTACATAGTTTGTTACAGCTCAGTAATATTTCGTTATGTTCATGTGCCACAGTTTATTCCTCATTCCATCAGCATCTACTTTGCTTCCATTTCTTTTTTACCTCAAAAAGTGCTGCTATAAATATTTGTTTTATAGGGAGCCTTTCTTTTTGTCAGTGCTCTCTTTGGGAGTGTATATCTCTGTCTCTGTCTCTGTCTCAAAAGGGTATTATGGACATTTTAGTCACTTTATTTGCCTAATTCCAAATTGCTTTCCAGAATGTTTGTGCCAATTCACACCTCCACCAACGGTGCATCAGTGTGCCTGTCTTTCCACAACCCCTCCAGCATAAACTATTCCCATCTTTTGTCATCTTTGCCAGCTTGCTAAGTGTGAGGTGAAACCTCAGGGTTATTTTGATTTCTGTTTCTCTTATTATTAGTGATTTCACAACCATTCTTGCAAACATCCCTAACTATGGCTTAACAGTCACATCTGGCAATTCTTTAAGTGCCTGAGAGTTGTTCATTTGAATTCATTGAAGTCACCCAAGTATTCTCTTATATTTCCTTGCTTATCTTGAGTACCAAGTTCCTGTTTGTAATTTTGGTCCTGTCATTTCCAGTGCAAAGATCATTCTCTTGCAGAGAAAACAGAAACACGATAAAAATTGAGCAGCTCTGTCTTTTCTGTGTTGGCTGTTACCTTTGTCCTTTCCTCAAGCAGGGGCCCTGTCCCTTCTTTGATCTCCGCTTTTCTGCTGATATAACGTTAAAACTTCATTATGTTGTCTAAATTTCCTCACTAGGCTCAGTATATCCTGAGTGTTAGAACTCCTGACACCTTTCTTTTAGAACCATACCACACTATTTTACTCATCCCTTGCTTCTATCTTTTGTATGTTTCTTTTTACAATCTCAGTTGGTGGGCAGGTTCCCAGTACACTCACATTGATCTCTTTGAACAACTTCCATTCTTTCTCCTTATCAGAATTGTACCCTTTTATATCCTCAGAATTTCGTTCTTTAGAGTTTACCATTTCTTTTTGCCTGTCTTCACCTGTAGAGCTTTAGTTTATGAGATCCTTTGTACCCTTTGAAATCTACTTTCTCCAGGTCTAGGGTGCATGTCACGCTATGCCCAACTTCTCTATTGTAAACTCTAGGAGGGAATTCCTTCGGGATTCTCATCGTTTCCACTCCAGCCACAAGCTTCTTCCTGTTTGAAAATCAGATCCTGAATAGAATTTACTCTTATTGCTTCCTCCACCTTTAGAAAGTTGAAATTATCATTAAAGCAAGTTAATGTTTTTAGTTGCTATCCTTCTGACTGAGAGAGCACAACAGATGTCTGGATAATTGAAGTTCCCCATTGCTTCTGTCATTCCTCAGTTCCAGGCTTGCGATCTATTTCTCAAATCCCCATCTCTTTCCTCTTCCTCTCGCTGTGGTCTGTAGCATACTTCAGTGACAATTTTGCTTCTGTTTCTCCCTCTGTTGATATTTACCCAAATGCTCTCCACTATCCTTCCCCCTTCTGTTTCCTGATTTTTCTCATGTGAGTGTACCTTCTTAAAATCCAGTGCTACCCCTTAACCTGACTTTTACTTATGTAACTTCTTTTGAATAAGGTGCAGCCATCCAAAGCCATATTCTAGTTATAGGCTTCATCCCACTTTTCAGTGATATCTATGGACTGAATTTTTCTGCTTGCTTTGGGACCTGTATAGTTCTTGTTGCCTGAATTTTGGGCATTGTGTGTAGACATTGGAGGCTAAGCGTTTTACTTGCCATTTTTTCTATTCTGCTTTATGGACCATAGAGAATAAAATCTACTCTCTCTTCCACGTGATGGCACCCCCAATATTTGAGGACAGCTATCCCGGTTCCCTTCTCCCCACTCTCATCTTAAGTCTTTGCTCAGCCGCACATCTCATCATTCAGGTGTTGTTCATATGCAGTAACTACTAAATGCTTCCTGTGGGGTATGATTCCCCACATCATCTTGTTATTCCTAAGGGACCTCACAGACCCACCTGCACCTGGATGGAATCCATGCTAGAGCATTCCTGACAAGTAGCCATTCTGCCTCTGCTCTCAGGCCTCCAGTCAAGGGAAACCCATGACCCCCTGAGGCAGCTCATTCCAACCCTCATTTTTGGGAAGCTTCCCTTCCATTGGGCTTAAATCTGCCTCTTTATCATTTCCACCCATCCCCCCCCCGGTTCTGTTTTCTGGGCTCTGCGGAACAAATTAATTCTTTTTCCACATGACAGCCCCTCTGATGTGTAGAGACAGCTATTTTGTCTCTCCTAAGCCTTATCTAGGTTCAACATTCTGAGTTCCTTCCTATCCTCATAGTATGGTTTCTAGTCCCTTCATCATCCTAGCTCCCTCCAGTGAATACTCCCCACCTTGTCAGTCAGTACTCTTTCCAACTGAACATGTTATTTTAAATGTGCTCTGGCCAAGGCAAAGTTGAGCAGGACTACCTCCTTTAGTCCTGGATAAGTATGCCTCTCCTAATATAGGCCAAGATTGTATTAGCTTTCCATTTACTGGACCTCTAGATGTTTTTTAACCTTGCCTGCCCCCACCTTGTATTTGTGAAATTGATTTTTTTAACCCAAATATAACACTTTACTTTTATTTCTGATCAATTTCATTTTATTAACTTTTTAACTTATTAACTTATTAACATTTAATTAACTGTAGCATAAATTGTCAATATTTTGGATCCTGACTGTTATCTAATGTGTTTGCTGTCTCTCCAAGCTCTGTCATCTCCAGATTTGAAAAATTTGCTTTTGAAAAATCTGTTTTCATCCAAGTCGTTGACAAAAATGTTAAGCAACACAGGCTAAGAGCTTTTCTGGGCCCTAATTCTGAGTTGATATCATGCCCTTGATGACTATTCTTTAAAAAATTTCAGTGCTCAGCCAGTTCTGTACTATGATCTAGCACCAAAGCTATTACTCTGATCCGGGCGTTGATTACCTCAAGCTCAAATTATCGCAACAATGTCCTACCTCCAAAGTCTACCACTTCACGCCGTCCTTGAATCATTATGTTGCCATGGTGTTTTTGGACATGTTAGAATCCCACAGAAGCTCCTGGTTACTTGTTATGTAAAGTCCAACCTTCATTTATTGTGCTCTAAGATCCTGTGCTATTCTTTCCTGTTACCTCTCTCTGCTTTTTGATTTGGATTAGACTCTTCTGCAGTTACATAAATTTGCTTGTTATCACCCTCACATGACTTGCTCAATCTCATCACTATATCTTTACCTTCATGGTATTTCCTGCCTTCAGGTAGATGTTCAAAACCCCATCCTTCCATGAGGCATTCCCTACCTAATCATCTCATGCCTCTCAAAACTCCCTTCACTCAGGCTTTAACTAAATGCCAATGTATATACAGGGTCTGAGCTATTAACTTGTTTGTCAACTCATTGAGCAAGCTTTTTTTTTATTAAATGCCTGCTATGTGTACAGCATTGTACTAGACTGTGGGAATACAAAGATAAAAATGAAGAAATTCCTGCCCTCAAGGAACTTAACATTCTACTGGGAGACAAGGCACATACACAGATAAATATAATGTAAAGTAGGTAAGCATGAGAGATCAGACAAAGGGCTTTAAGAATGAATACTTGAGGAAACCGCTGGGGGAATCCAGAAAGGCTTCACAAAGAAAGTGGTACCTGAGTCAAGGATTCGAAGGGGCGTCAGTGAAGAGAGAATCTAGGCGTGCAAAAGCACAGAGGTGGGCTCTGGGATTCCCACTTGGGGGGCCACAAGCACTCTAATTTGACTGAAAACAGAGTGAATGTTGGGGAGAAATGTGAAATGACCTTGGAAAGATAGGCTGAGTCCAGGCTGTGAAGGACTAAGTGCCACGCTGAACAGTTTGTATTGTATTGTAGAGGCATTATGGAGCCCCTGAAGTTTCTTGAGAAGGGAATTGGGGAGAGAGGGCAATCACACAGTCACATTTGTGCTTTAGAAAGATGATTTTGGCAGCTGTTAAAGAGGATGAATTCAAGAGGAAAGAGACTAGAAACAATCTCTTTTCGAGAGGAAGCCATCAGGGGTCCTGGTCAGAGCCTGAATTAGGGTGGTGGCCATGTGAATAGAGGGATGGGAACAGATGTGAGAGATGTAAAATCTACACAACTTGGCAACTGATTAGATGTAGGAGGTGAGGGAGAGGTAGCTGTCATCCTAATTTTGCTGGATAAGGAAGTAGGTTTTGTAATATTCATCCACTGGCAGTCAGTCTTTATTGTCCTTTTGGGGCATTGTTCTCATGGGGATGTCACCTATGAAAGATTTCAATCTTCATTTGTCTCATTTGTAGTCAGAATTAAGAGAGAGGTGATATTGGGCAGAGCCAAGTGGTTAGCGAAGCATCTCATAAATGTTTTTTTAGATCACAATGTCTTGAGAAAGACATGCAGGGTTGCTTCTTATCAAAGAGTAACCCTGTAAAAATTAGGACTTAGAAATAATGCCTTGTCCAAGAAACATAGTACCAGAAATAAATTAGTAGAAATTCAACTTTTCTTGCCTAATGCAGCATACCTACATTATAGTGCAGTTTCCCAGCCAGATCTTAAATCTGCTACTTGTTTGCATTTAAAATAGTCTTTCCTGACTGAATAGCTGTTGATTAATTCTAATTCCTTCATTTCCTCTTACCCTTCCTTTGATAGGCAGGTCCATGAGATCCAGTCTCACATGGAACGCCTGGAGACGTCAGACAAGGAGTCTTTGCACTGTGAGTAATTAACTGTGGAGACCGGAGTCCATGCTCTGATGACACAGTGCTAATGGGCTGGGTTTCCTTACTACATTTTTGCCTAGGGGGCCTAGTGATTCAGCTTGAAATGAGTTTTGTAGTTAAGGTGGGCAGTAAAACCCTATGGCAAATTCACTGATTTCCTTGATTATACACCAAGGAATCCCACAAGTCTTATCCCCCATTACCCCTCCACTCAACCTGACATGGTTCTAGTGAAATGGAAGTGCCTTTCCTTCATCTGTCTTAATCTTATTACATAGTTCTCAGAGGAATGTGCAGTGTAAAAATTCAGAGAGAGTTTCTGGGATTGGTGATTTTTCTAAGCTGAAACCTATGGCTTTCAGGAGGATTATTCAGAAACTAATAGCAATATTAATTAGTTTTCTTCCCACACCATGATTTCTTTAGGGAAGAATGTCATTTCTTTGCATTAAAAAATCCTTTTTCTGAGAGAGCAACATATAGTTCATTCTAGTTATCCACATATTACAGTATCCAGAGACTTTCTGCTTGCCTGTCTCCTATTTGCTGGTGCATTAACTTGTCTCCTTTCTGCAACTTAATGATGTCTTGTTCATTTGCTTTCTCTCTCCCTCTTCCTCTCACCCCCACCTCCCCGTGCCCAGGTCCTACTTTGATATAACAATTAGCTAGCTGTGAGCATGGAAGCATTAGAGAGATGCTAGACAGTGGAATCGAGAGTTCAATATCTATATTTTATACTAGTCTATAGCTACACTTTAAAGGCTTAGAAACAGCTTGGCTCTCTCCTTTTATGCTGAGTAGCCCTTAATTGTTCAGATAGACTTTGCCTCCTAGAAATCACTCTTCTACCCTGTGTTAGGGTAGTGAGAGGGGTTCCAGGCATAAGAAAAATGACTGAATTGATCAGATTTTTTTCCCTCACTATTAGATTTGCTGCTATAATGTAGAGATTTCTTAGTCTACTTAAGGAAAGCCTTGGGACAATCTTATACAACAATCTTGAGATAAATACTACAAGTATCATTAACTCCATTTTATAGATTAGGAAATAAAAGTTCATAGAAATGGTAACTTGTCAGTGCTCGCATTACTAGTGTCTGGATAAGGATTTGAACTCTTAATTGTAGCATTTTTCCAATTGCATCATGCTTTCCTTCCTTCTTTTATATGTATTTTCCAAGCTAAAATTACTTCATTTCTGTCAATCTCTCTCTCTCTCTCTCTCTCTCTCACACACACACACACACACACACACACACACACACACACACACACACCCTCACACATGTATTTTTGGTGGACATTGATTTTGAGAACAAATTAGAGGAATGAATGAGTGGAAGAAGGGAAGGATGTTTATTAAGCACTTTCTATGTGCCAAGTGCTAAGCACAGGAGTAAGTAGTAAAAGTAGATGGTCTGTGCTGTTGAAGGAGTTTGGGCTTCGCTTGGAAGAGACCACAAAGGGGAGGGTTACAGCAGCTGAGTAGAGGGCAAGGCCCATGAGGATGTCTGCCTCCAAGAGTGAGGGACCTGGAGGGGCATGACCCATGGGAAGTTTGGGAAGGTGCCGGTGGTCCTAGAATCAGGGTGCAGTGGGAATTCTGGGTTCCTTCAGAAAAACATTCTGAATCAGCAAATACAGCATTTAGTTTTAAATGTTCAATTGGCTTCAGATACTCATTTTACTTTTCTCAAGTTAGGAAAAATCACAGCTCTCAATCTGTTTGCTACTTTCTTTAAAAAAAAAGTATGATTGTTATAGCACTTGATAATTACAGAGAACTGGAGGCAAAGTGCTGAAGTTATTTGGAGAAATAGCATTTTATAGGTTCCTCTCAGGATTGTTTTCTGTGCTTTCTGTTGTTATGACTTGGTTTTTTCCCTTTTAAAAGTATGATTTTTTTCTGTTTGTTAGGATCTTAGCGAAAAGATGTATTTGCTTGAACTTTCTAATATCACCAGTTCGTGATCTCTTTTTCCAGCAATTATATTTCTTCTTTTATGTAGTAGTAGAAAATGAAATCCAAGCAAGGATAGACCAGATATTCAGCAGCCTGGAACGCCTGGAGATTTTGTCCAGCAAAGAGCCCCCTAATAAGCGCCAGAACGCCAAACTGTAAGTGCTGGAGCCTCTTCAAGAGCTGTGGTCCTTAGGAGTCAGTCCCCTGGTGCAGGCCTCTCTTCTAGTGGTGGAAGCTATACTTCACAGGTGCGGCAGTGGCAGTCTCTGTGAGGCGAGGCAGCCAGGGGAGAGGGGCTTCTCAGAAGTCGGGTACTAGCTCCCCTGCTGCGCATCTGTCTGATGCTGGCCCCCAGAGCTGGGCTTTTTGGTCCTTAGAGTAGGAAGACAGGAGGTCAGAATCGTGGCCTTGGGCAGCTGCTGCCTAGTCACCTTTGCAATGGTTTGTGATTCCCACTGGGTTCCTAGGTCAGAATACAGTCTTGTTCTTAATCTCCTGTACCAATCAATTCATAATTAAAATACTGATCTAACATTTGCTACCCGGCCATGAAATTAAAATGGAAACTACCTCAACTCCCAAAGGTTTTCTAAATCTTTATTGACAGTTTGAGCTGATACTGCCCTTGGGCCCCTTACAGCAGAGGAATAGAGTAAAGGTCAGAAAGAGTTCATCAGACCTGTTTCCTGTCACCTGCGCCCTGTCCTGCCTTCAGAGTCATGAGCCAGCAGACACTGAAGTAGAGGGTCTGGGCCATGGATGTAGTACATCCCTAGCCCAGCCACAGGCGGCCACTTCAGTTTTCAATATCATTGATCAAAATCAGGTTTTTACTGAAGAGAGTAGATGGGGGAGGGAAGGAGAAAAAAATGTTCCACCCTAAATAAGTATCTTGGCTGCTTCAAATTTTTCTTTGTTCTGGAATTTGATCTCAGTCTTCATCACTTCTTTCTAGTCGTGTCGACCAGTTAAAGTATGATGTCCAGCACCTGCAGACTGCACTGAGGAACTTCCAGCATCGGCGATATACAAGGGAGCAGCAGGAGAGGCAGCGAGAAGAACTTCTGGCAAGAACCTTCACCACGAATGTAAGCCACTTGTTCTGGGCCACTGGGAGGGGCGGAGGAGCCAAGCACTTGTCACTTTGCTGGGGCCCCACAGCTCAGGGAGTGACTAGGAACAAATGGTGAGGACCTACTGGAAAGGACAGGGGCCTGCTGGAACAACAAGGGTTGGACCCCTTTTGCTAATGTAAAGATTTAAGAAAGAAGCAATTAAATTAAGAGAATGGGTAGAAGTAAGAATTACCTGGCTAAACTATTCAAATGTAAGTTAGAAGTTCATGTGGTGGAAAAAATGTTGTGATAAGATAAGGTCAGATGATTAGGTCTTAAACAGCTCATAAGGAAGGCAACATTTGGAAGCTGCTTCAGGCAGCTGCTGTTGTACCCCGTGAGATGAGTTAGGCTCACGTCTAGTGATTTATGATGCTAAAACACTTAACATAATGGGAATACTAATAATGACAGTTACAAAGCTTTTTTACATACAGTATTTCATTTGATCCCCACAGTACCCACTATAAGGTAAAGGTACACTAAGTATGAGCTCTATTTTGCAGAAGAGGAAACTGAGCCTGGAGAAGTTAAGTGACTTCTATGGCTAGTGTGATATATCTAAGACTTAAGCCTGGGGTGTCTTATTTTTTATTTTTTTTTCGGTGAGGCAGTTGGGGTTAAGTGACTTGCCCACAGTCACACAGCTAGTAAGTGTTATGTGTCTGAGGCCAGATTTGTGGGTATCTTATTTTACACTTGGTAATATGTGGTTCTGGTTTCAGATTCTTTTTTTTTCTTGTTTTTTGCTTCCAAGCTAAGTAGCAATTTGGAAGCATTAGTTAACAGTTTAGTTTTGCCTGGACTGCCGGAATCGAGCCTGGTTTGAAAGTGACCTATCAGTTTTTATTAATTGATTTCTTATGTCTACCTTCTCAGACATTTTTAGCTTTTAAAAGTTAAATTATTTAATATACAACCCCCTATTACGTTGGCCTATGCACTGACGTGTATGAAATATTTTACGAGGTGAGTTACGTATGGTGACATCTTTTCTTGTACTTTCACTAAGATCCTATCAGAATTCAGACTTGCTACTTGATGGATAATTCTCATTGTGACCGTTGTCCATCTCAGTGAATTGCCCAAATGTCCTTAAATAAGTCTGTTTAGTTTCTTTTTCTTCAAAGTAAATTGTCTCCTATGGCTGCCAAGTAAGTTATAAATTATCCTACAGTGTTATGAGAAACTGTGTAAGACTTGGCATAATTGTGAAGTTATTTTCAGTGTTTGATAGGCATTTTGAATTTAATAATCTTAAAGTCTCTTAAGATGAAAGGACTCCTTGGGGTCAAAGACCCCATTTTTCTCTCAAAAATAGTACCTAGTATAGGTACTCTGACAATATTAAGTACTCAGTAAGTTTTGGCTAATTGAATGTACTGCTGCTGGGATATTGTGATGTTTGCAAGACAGCAATCCATCTTTCTGTGAGATAGAAACCATATCATCTGAAACCTGTAACATGTTCTGACACACTGGTCTTATGGAAATGAGCAGGCTACAGTCTCCTAGAGTAGAAGATGGTGAATACTTTTTATTTTCCCCTCTGGACCGGTTATTTCATCAGTGATGAATTCCTTCAGGCAGGTCAGATCACACCTGCTCTTCAAGTTAGAGTCTTAAAAGCCCAGGGCCTTAAAAGATTAAGTGGCTTGCCCAGGAACACACAGCCAGGATTTGAACCTGGGTCTTCCTAATTTCAGAGCTGGCTCTGCACTATGCCATGTTGCCTCTAGAGATGCTAAAAATAATGAAAGTGACTGACGTTTATGTAACATTTGAAGGATTACAAAGCATTTTTCACACAACCACCTTGTGAGGCATGTAGTTCAAGGAGTACTGACCCCATTTTATAGATGAGAGCTTTTTGTCTGAATGGTTAAGTGACTTGCCCATGATCAACCCAGCAAGTAAAGGCTCGAGGCAGGATTTGCACGTAGATTTCTTAACTCCAAGTTAAGCATTCTTTTTACTACACCTAGGTACAAAAGAAGCATGTAGAACCTAAAAAAATCAGCATGGAGTAGGCACTCAGTGCTTACTGAACAAATGGAGAAAGAACCACAGTTTGTTCAGTCAGTTGATGCTTATTGAGTGCTTCTAAGGATCTACTGCTGGTCCTTAGGCCCCTCTGAGCTTTATCACCTTCTCAGGGCACCAGCTCTTTCCTAAAATGTATGCAGGAGACCTTTGCCTTTGAACCCATAGCTTTTAGCTTTCGTTATTTTCTAGACTTCTGGTTACAGAAACCCAACTTGAAGGAATGAGTTTCCTGAACCTTCTGGCCTGTGGGCCTTCTCTGCTCCTTTGGTTTCATGCTTCGCCGTGCTAAATCCTAATTACCTTCCCATTCATTTGCTGCCATCTTGGTTCCTGGTTCCAATACCCACTTCATCATTTTTCTTTATACACCAGATGACAAGAGTACATTTTCTAGGGTTTACTTATAAGGGAAAAAAGATAAAAATTTAGAAATAATATGCCAGGAAAGGGTAATTAGAAATGCTAATGAAAGTAAACCCCCTAGGCCCAGACTGAGTAAGCACCTAAATTCTCCACTGTTCTCTCTAGCTTCATTTTCATGATCCTTGATTGACCTGCCCTGATTCCTTCTAGGCTATAATATCTTGTCTCCTTGTGGGCCTTCCTTTTCTGTCTCTGAATGCTAAATCAAATGCTTTGATTTAGAGTCGGCCCACCTAGGTGCATAGAGTCAAACATATTGGTCTGTTTGTTAATCTCAGACTCAGCCTGTGCTAGAGAGTCTGAAAATCTCAGACTGTGTGCCTGGTGCAAGTAGGGTTTTCAGCGCTCTACCTCTGTTACTGTAAAATCTCTCAGCTAACGAGAGCGTTCTGTGTGCCAAATGAGGAAGGGGATTAAAAAAGTGATCACAGACAATTAAAGATTTTCTATCATGCCCCAAACTGAAAATAACCCCAGTACAAAGACAAGCTCTCCTATTCCCTTAGCACTGTAACAGGATGGGGATGGCAGAATCATATCTGCAGAGGGAAATTGAACACATACATGTGCAACAGTTGTTCTGGACTTTGATGGTCATGGGTCAGTGTTCTGATCTCTGTGGCAGATCCAGCAAATGATTAAGTTGGAAAAATAGTACTATTGGGCAATGGTTTGGGAGCCTCAGGTGGCAGTATTATCACTTATTTGTAGTAATCCATTTCTGTGTCAGAATTCCCTTTACCATGAGTGAAGTTACCTCTAGAACAATGATCTTCTCACACAGACTTGGAAATGGCCACACCCATCTGAAGTTTTACTTTTTTCCCCCTCTACAATTGCATTTTATTCATTCACTCAAAATATGTGATTCTAAGAACATGAATAATACTGCTGGGCTCTGTAAGCAATTAAGAAGCACTAGAAGACAGTGTCTGCCCTTAGGGAGCTTGTTGAATGGATAATCAATCCATGTACAAAGTAACTAAAGAATAGAAACAAGTGCTTGATGCCTTGTCCTGAGAAAAAGTGAAGTGAAAGGTGTGTGTGGCCAAGGAAGTGATGCTTGTGCATCTACAAAAGGAGAGAGAGATTTTTTCCCCCAGGCCTAGCCTGGGGCAGGTGGGGAGTAGTTTGGAAGGAAGGCCTTAGCAGTACACCTGTCAATGCTGTACAATGATAGTAAAGGCCTGAATTGGGGAGTAACAAGGGAATTTCTTCCACTGCATGAACATATGCCATTTCCCAACCTTGACTTTTGAATTTCTGCTTTTCCCCCTATAACTGTTTGAGTTTTGCTCCCCTGCTTATTGCCAACCTTAGGATTTAATGTAGCCGAATGAGTCACTGGTGGGGCCCGAGGGAATTAGATGAGCGGGCAAGTAGGCAAGGTTAATTGAAACCCTGCATTTCCTCCACAGGACTCTGATACTACCATACCCATGGATGAATCACTGCAGTTTAATTCCTCCCTCCAGAAAGTTCACCACGGCATGGATGACCTCATTGGAGGCGGGCACAGTATTCTGGAGGGACTGAGGGCACAAAGAATGACCCTGAAGGTGGGGTTCCTTCTAGGGAACGGAGCCAAGGCCACTTGCTTGGTTCTCATCCAGACAGTCCAATACTTATAGTTGTTTTTATTTCCCTGATGAAATTTTTTTCAGTCTTATTTTTTGCTTAAGCTTCCTCCAAACCCTGGTGTGTGTGTGTGATAAAGCCTTCAAGTTTGAAATTTCTAATCAGACAGATACTTGTCACTTGAATTGAAAGTGAATTTGGGTGAACTGTTAGGATAGTCCAAGAGATTTCCAGACTCCTTTTGCTGTTAAGCATTTCCTGGTTCTTTTCTTGCCTGACGTTGGAAAGGCCCAATGAGGCATGTGGCAGAAAATTGCCTCTTGGTCTGTGACAGAGGAAAACATTTTGTTGTCTTTTTTGCCCTCAAAGTCTCTTCATTTCCTGAGCCTATGATAAAATGCATTTACAACAAGGAGAGCCAGGTCCTTGTAAAAATGGCTGGTGAAACTGACCTGTTCAGGTAGGTGGCATAGTGCAGTAGGAAGGACACTGAGGGTCTTGGATTCAAATCCCAGTCCTACCACAGCTACCTGTGTGACCTTGGGCAAGTCACTGAGCATATCTGGGCCTTGGTTTCCAAATGAGAGCATTGGACTAGTTGGCCTCTAAACTTGCCTTCTGTTCTAAATCTGTGATCATACAGGAAGCATGTGAAGAAGCACATACATAAGCTCATAAGGTCCATTATCAGGAGTTGGGTAATTATTTAAATCATGAGAAGTGCAGTTATGCATTGACACTATTGTAGGAATCATGCAAAGACACCTAACAACAAGGTCCCCCAAGGCCCACTTACCTTATTCCAGATTCTACTTCACACTGAAATTTGAAGGCTGTAAAAAAGCTCTGTAACAAATAGCCACAATTCTCTCATTTCCCTCCAGTCGTAGGTAATCCAGGAAGCAATGGCATTGATGAGTTGAAAAGGCTTTGGGAGCTTTTTACCAAAACATTACATCTTCCTGATGTCGATTATGATATTTCAGCCCCAGCCCTTTTCCTGTATGGCCCCGATAGGGAATAGGATGTGGTTTATGCCCATTATCAGGGTGGGGGCCCCATGAGAATGAAGTGCTTTTAGCCACTGAATGTGAGAAACGGTTATTAGGAAGTGGACGTTTTATCTAAGTTTTTGTTGGACCAAAGCAAGGCTAGTAAATTGAAGTACTTCATTATCCTCACCATTTTATTAAATTGAGCTGAATTTGGTACACTCCGTCTTTTCATTGGGATGGCAGCATCGCTTTAGATTGAATTCTGCCTGATTTTAAAGTGTCTTTGTCATCCTGTTAAGGATGCTGCCTCATTTGCTGAATTGTTTGAATCAAGGCTAGGGATGCCTAGAAGTATTCTGACCTTTGCCTCTGAAAGCTATGCTACCAGTCACTCTTAGAGCACTGTTCAGGAACAGTGTGACCTTGCTATGAAGTGGTTCACTGTCAGTCATACCTTGCTGTTGAAACATATTTCTAAGGCAGATGTTAATAGTGTACCTCAGAACCAGCCTTGTGAAGGCATTACATTGCTTCTTTTGCTGGCCACTCCTACCAGTTAGGCCAGTACCTGCAATGTAAGGCTACTAATGCATCCCCAAAGCTGATTGTTAGGGCTTTAAGATTTTTTAAATTCTAGGTATTATACTGCCAGAGGGTTTTTGCTTTCCTTTCTCATTTGAATGGACAGAGGAGAATAGTTTGATGAAGTGTGCTGCAGGCATCCTGACTATCATAAATGGCAAACCAGTTTTTCAAATGCAAGACCATTTTCAGCAGATCTTGGACTCTTCAGTCTCTAGACGATGCCACCCAGTGGAAAAATTACGTGCCTTCTGGAGCCAAGAAAAATATCTAGTTCATTAGATCATCATATTCACACATGTCACCACCTACCTGCCACAAAATAACACTAATCAAATTTCCAATAGTGGCAGGCTTAAGTAAGAGCAGCTGCTTTATGCAACGAGGCTATTACTGGTGTCCAGGAAGAACTCAAATGGCCCACTTTGCACATGCTGCCTCTGCATCGTCTTGTAGACTTCATCATCTCTCTTCTCACTTCTGTTTCACCCTTCAGTCACCCTGATCTATATTCACCTCAAAAATGTATGTTGAATATTGTCATATTAGTGAAAATCTATAGGCCAAATTCCCCATCTTCCTCCTTCTTCCCAAAGAATTTGCTTACATAAAACTCTAGTACAGTCTATAATATTAGAAATAATTAAAACATCTTTATTAGTATTGAAAGTTTTTAACTTTCATAATATTTATATAGTAATGTTTATTTTTATTTTTTATTTAGTTTTTTAGTTTATACCTATATATTTTATTTTAAATTTTATTTTTAGTATATTTTAGTATATGCCTATTTTATTTTTAGCTTATTTTTTAGTATATACCTATTTATTTTTTTATTTCTAAATCTTATTTTAAGGATGTAGCCTATATTCAGACCAATACAGTAATGTGGATATAAATGCAATTGGTGATATGCAAATGAGCAACTTGGATTCTGTGCTAGGATCCATTTATATTGATTACTTCATGAAAAGTTAAAAATGCTTTAAAAAAAAAAGATTAAAAAGCAATGAAGCAAGGCAATCTGAATGTCTTGAGCTGTTGGCTTAGGAATAAAAACCCTTTTGTCCCAGCATCAGGTGGCAGTTGGGTCGTGATTTCTGTTGTGATTGTTTTTTAGGTTTCCATAGTACTATTATGCATGAATTGTACTCCCCTCTTCAGTTCCATCCCTACCACACAGACAAAACTTAGTGGAGCTCCTACACACTGAGCAAGCTAGAGTACATGAACCAACTGACCTGAAAGTTTATTGCAGGAAGCAGAGAAGGAACCAGTATATAAGGAAAGTTTTTATTGTAATTGCCTTTATTTTATCTTCTTTTGGGGGTGAATAAGAAGATACCTGTTAATCAAGCTGCCCTCACTATCAGTTGTACACAGACATACACACCCCCATGCAGAATGAGAAAAGCTCATGTATTCTTTTCTTTTCTTTCTCGTTGGACCCAGGGCACTCAGAAGAAGATCCTGGATATTGCTAACATGCTGGGGTTATCCAACACTGTCATGCGACTTATTGAGAAGCGGGCCTTCCAAGACAAGTACTTCATGATAGGTGGGATGCTCCTCACCTGTGTGATTATGTTTCTGGTGGTGCAGTATCTGACATGAGCAGGCAGAGGCCAGTGACTGGAAAGTGTTTCCATCTTGCGTGTGTGTGTGTGTGTGTGTGTGTGTGTGTGTGTGTGTGTGTGTGTGTGTGTGTGAGTGTGAGTGAGAGAGAGAGAGAGAGAGAGAGAGAGACAGAGAGCCTGCCTGCCTGCCTGCCTTGTGAAATGTACTGCCTATCTATCACAACTGTGAATGCCACTTCAGACTAATCTCATCTGTAACCCAGCGAGAGTTTCAGAACAATTCTTGTTTTCTTCAGCTCCTTGGAGGGGAAAGCCAAGACCACTCAAGAAACTTTGTTCTTGGGAGCCAAGTGACCACCCCACCCTGATCTGGGGAAGGAAAGGAAAAAGGAAATGCCTTAAATGGTTTTGCCCACACAGCCTATGTTCTTTGTCAGAAGAATCTGAAGATATTAGCCTTGGTGACAAGAAGGCTCAAACACTTGTGGCACTCAGCTGCACTGGGACAGGGTTGGAGGTGGAGTGAGGGGGCAGTGAACAGAATGGAACAGGTACTTCTCCCAAAGTCCATAAGGGAAAAATTAGATAGCCATTTCCCACACCAGTTGCAGGAAGACTAGTGCACCTGCTTTTTGCCTTCCACCCACAACTGTTGCTTCCTCCCTACCCTCCCCCCCAAAAAATATAGGTGTGCAGATTAAACCTACCCCCTAAAAAAATAGGGGTGCAGATTGAATCTACCCTGCTAGCAGGGCAGCCTAATGCTTTCTAACATTCCCCCTGGAGCCATTAACCATCAACATGGGAAGAACAAAAAAAATGAAGATACTGTTAACAATGAGTGAATTTTTACACATTTGAGTTTTACAGTGTTTTCCTTTTGAAAATGAAACTAATGTTATATAGGATTGTTTGGATTTAAGACTGTAGATTTTAGTGTTCTGATATATATATATATATATATATATATATATATATATATATATATATATATATATATATATATATATACGTGTAATAGAATGGTTTTTGTTTCACTCAGTTCTTGGGGGTTCACAAAGTGTAGCCCACATGGAAAGCACTCTGCTGCAATTCTCCCTTCCATTCTCTCTTACTCTGGAGATATATAAGGGGGATTGGAAGGCAAAATTTAAGCACAGAATAATAATTAACCTATTTCAGGTTATCTCTGGTCTTGTAGCAGCTTCAGTTTATCTATAGTCTTCTTCCCCCAGAGATGTTATTAGCTGCCAGTGTCTGTGAATCTCACTGTATTACCCACTGGAGGGTGGAATCAAAAGATTTGTCTTGGCCCCCATTTAAGGGGATTTATTATTGGAAATAAGTTCTATGGCATAGATTTCCCCTCAGAGGTAGATGGCCCTTTTCCAAGGCTACATAGCCCTAAAGCAAGGCTCTAAACAATCCTCTTCCTGCTACTACCTGTACTACTTAGCTATCTGTCTCCTCTGTTTTTTTATCCTTCCTTTCTATTCCGTTCCCTTCTTATTTTGTCCTTCTCTTGCTTCTGTAAACATATCTTCCTCTCCTCAATATGTGGAACCACTCCTTTTGTGGTGAAAACCATTAGTTTTTAATTGACAGATTTTTAACACTAATGAGCGTTGGGCATAGGTTGAGTAGTAGTTTGTATGCCTGTTTCAACAGATGATGGTCTCTGGAGTTACCAGTGATCTATGCCAGGAATTCTTCAGGTTCTAAAGGAGGGAAATGGCCCTTCAGATTGGTTTTTGGAACCTAGCTGAAGAGATGGAAATACCACTTCAAACAGTAGGTGTTGGTGAGCTCCTTACAACTGAAAGCTTTTGCCAGTCTGCAGAGGGACCTTTTAAAATGCACAGATTCCAAACTCTAGGACCTACTAGAAGCCTCATCCTCTGGATATGCTGAGGTCACCATGCTACTTTGATGAGAATTTTGGATTATGGTATAGACATAAGCTTTTCCTGGGAATCTGGCAGTGTGAGAAACCCCCAGGTCTCTACACTCTTTCTAATTGCAGTGATGTACTTCTTCACCATTAGGTCTGCTTACAGTCTGTGACCTGACAGTCCAGAAGTGGGTGGGTGTGACTTGTGGGCCACAGTACCATCCATAGCCAATTCTGTCTGCCCTGTAGTAAAGCAATACTGAGGGAGGAATGTTGTCTTCACTTTCAGGAGCCGTAGCTACCATGTTAACTGGGATTCATTGTGTCTTGAGTTCATCCCTCTTTACCCCTTAACTACCTCTGAAAAGCTAGCATGATGATTTTCCTTTATACCAACCAGCAATACTGTCCCTGAAATACCAGTAGATCTGTTCGTGTGATCATAGACCCTTTACTGGGGATGGAGCACCCTCTAGTGGAACAGAAAAATTCTACTTTTGGAAACCATCAACTGAAAAAGGATCTTTGTCTTGGTTTGTTACAGGAATTTTGTGACAGCATTTATAGTTTTAAATAAGTGGGCTGTCAGAAGGGAGCTTGGAAATGTTTTTTTGTATACTTTGTGATGCTTTTTGTTGTATTCCAAGTGTATACCTACTTCTAAGAGAATCCAAAAAAAAATGGAGAGAACAGTAGGTCATTATTGGCATTATAATTGGATTTTTTGCTTTACAAAAATGATTCTCTAAGAGTCAGAAGACCTGAGTTCTAGACTTGGTTTTGCCATTAACTAGCTGTGTATGACTTTGATCTTTCTGAGCCTCAGTTTCCTCTTTTCTATATTGAATTTGGACTAGATCTCAGAGGATCCTTAAAACTCTAGAATTCTCTGCTTCTGTGAAATGGCTTGTTCCTTTAATGAATTTAAAATACATTTGTTAAATGAGAAGGTTGGAGTAGATGATCAGATAGGGGTACAAGCCATCTGCAATATTCTGTGGTTTCAGATTTCGTTTGCAAACATTGGATTTATACCCAATATGTCAAATTAAATAAAATGAGATATTAAAAAAAATTTGTATTTCTTACAAAGGGGTCTGGCAGTCATTGTTACTGTTAATGGCCAAGAGGCAGAATTATAGAATGTCTGATCTGGAAGGAACCTTAGAGATCTTCTATTCTAGGGGTTCGTAAGCTGGGATCTGTAAGCTTTCCAAAAAAAAAAAAGGTAAATTTGATTTCAGTATAAGCAGTTTGAAATCCTGTTTATTTTATGCATTTAAATACATTGTTCTGAGAAGGGTTCCATACGTTTTACCAGATTGCCAAAGGGGATCCATAATATAAAAAAAGTTTACCATCTCTCACCTCCCACCCCACCCTACCCTAATCCAACTCTTTTTTTGTAGAAGAGAAAACTTAAGTTCTCAGGTTAAGTGATTTGCCTAATTTCTCACAGCTAGTAAGTAGATAAAGCCAGAGCCTGAATGCAGTCTGATGGCAAGTACATAACTCTGCCTGTCCTTCCTCTGTTATATATGCTAACTAAACAATAGCTAATGTCCAAATGGGGAGAACAGTGGAGTCATTCATTTTGTTGCTTTGTACTTTTTATCTGTGGCTAATCGATTATTCTTTTTGTATCAGAGGTGGCGGCACACAAAAATATTTGCTTAGGTGGCTTCTTGCTGTGAAAAAAAATAAGATTTGTGGAAATTAGTTGTAGCTTACTGAGTTTCTTTAATTAAGTCAGTACCTCTTCCTTAATCTAGGAAGTTAAGGTGAAACCAAACATCATTCTTAAATTTTCTAGTTGTGGATGTTAAGTCTTTAACCAGGCTACATAGGAGGTAATATTATGAAATGGAAGTGGATATCGTGACCAATTTGTGGAGTCACATTACTTTTTAAATACCTAATTAATTTGTGTGTATGTGTACGTATATACATTCATACATGCTACCTCACTCTTGTCATTCTACATACAGAGAGTGAGTGAATTTCACTTGTTCTGTGAGATTCTTGAGGGAATGTGGTGTAGTAGAAAGAGCATTCAGGTCTGACGAGGATCAGAGTGGGCTGGGTTCTGGTCCTAGCTCTTCCATTACTTGCTTGGCCCCTTAGACCAACTTCAGTTTACTTCTCTTAAAAGTTGATAAGATTGAACTGCGTTATCTTAAGGAAGATCCCTTCCAGGTCTCATATGCTGTATATGGACTTCTTTTCTAGCTTTTTGGGGTCATTATCCCCAGTTGTACAGGTGGAGAACTTAAACAGGAAACAGAAAAAAAGAAGACATGACTTGCTTATAATTAGATACTCAGACTCTAAGACAGTTGTTGCACACTTTGATGATATTGTGGAGGTTCTTTGGTTTAACACACTTTCCTGATGGGCAAAAGAGGGGTAGGGAGAAAGGGACCCAGCACCATTGAAACCCTGTATTAGACTGCTGCTGTCACCGTGACTCACCATTAGAGGACAGTCTCCCTCTATCTTTGGGCACAACTGGATCTATATCAGCTAATGTCTTTCTCTTCCCATACCTTTGGCTGGTATTGTGGGATGAGGAAGGGGTATATCATTTGGTTTGGTCTGTTTCTATGTAGACCCAGAGGTCCTAGGACAGTGGGGTCTCAAAATTGGGACTTATGAATCAGGGGTGGGGTAACCCCAAAATTCAGAGGCTTAAGAAAGTGCCTGTGCTGCTCATCTAAAAAGCAGTTGTTAGAGGTAGTGTGACCTTTGATCCATAACATTTTATGCAATCTGATCGATGTCATTTCACATGACAGTGGGAATGGGGTGGGGAGGCAGGATATTGGAGAAGAACATACAAGGCAAAGACTCCCAGGAATGGGATAGGAAATGAGAAGAGAGGCAGGTCTCTCCAGTACACTTGGGCTGCAGTTGATAAGTTCCCAGTTGTCATATTAGTCACCAGACTTCCCCACTGTCTGCCCTCCTCTGCCCCCAAGATGCTGATTGGGAATCTCATCTGTATGTCAGGATAGGCTGTAATGGGTGGTTCAGTGGCAAGTGCAGTGTATTTGGGAGTCAGAAGACCTGGATTCAAATCCTGGTTCTATTGTGATTTGACCCATGTGACCATGTATATTCATTTAGTAAGCATCTGGTAAGCTCCTATATGGCAGGTACTAGAAGTAAAAAAAAAATCCCTGCCCTGATAGAACTTACACTATATTGAGGAAAGACAACAAATACATATCTAAGTAAATACAAAATGTATACATCAATCAAGCATTTATTAAGCCTTAGGCATTCACCAGTCACTGCTAATTGTTGGGGATTCAAAGAAAGGCAAAAACTGTTTGCACACCAGGCGGTTACATTCTAATGGGAGAGACAGCATGAATAATCAGATGTATATAAATATATCTGGGATAGATGAAAGATAATGAGGAAGAAGGGCCTCCTACAGAAGTCTTTGGACTGAATCTTAAATTTTAGGAAGCCAGGAAAATTAAAAAGGTTTGCAGGTGAAAGGACAGCTAGTGCAAAGGCACGGATATGGGAAACGGAGTGTTGTGTGTCTATGAGAGAGAATAGGCTAGTGTAGCCAGATTGTAGAACACGTGAAGGGGAATAAAGCATAACACAGGACTGCAAAGGTAGAAAGGAACCAGGTTGTCAACAGTTTTAAATGCTAAATAGCATTTTTTTATTTGATCCAGGAGGCAATAGTGTGACATGATTGAATCTAAGCTTTAGGAAATTCACATTGGAGCAGAGTGGAGGATGGTTTGGAAAGGGAAAGAGAAGTGAGACAGAGACACCAAACCAATTAAAAGACTGTTGCAGTAGTCCATGTGAGAGGTGATGAGGGCTTGAACTCACTAGGTGAAAAGAATGTGATGTTTAGAAGAGAGTTAGAAAGAAAACGATTTGGCATTGAATTGGTATGTGGGGTGAGTGAGTGAGGAGTCAGGGATGACACCAACATT